ATTTTTTTAAAAAATATTTTAGGTTAGGTTAAACCGCGAGATGTTTGTTTGAATAAATTAATTAAAACACATGTAAGACAATTAATAACTAAACAACACAAAATAGTTTTTACAAGCACAAACAGTTTAAAATTTTTTAAGGATATAACGTCAATTAATGAAAGTAAAAAAGTAAAAAGTAAAAATTATCAGACTCTTAAGACATCTATCTAGATTTTTAACGAATCAATGTAGTAAACTGTAAATTTTAAATTTAGCGGATAAATAGTGTACTAACAAAGGTGTTATTTACTGAAAGTGAGTATAGGTGGCGGTGACAAATTTTTTTTTTCGCCAATTAAATTGACTTGTGAGAAATAAAGGACCTTTTCTTTAACCCCTTACACTTGATCAATAATGGATCTACAGCTACTAGAAAATCACATTTTTTTCAAATTTAGGTGGCGGTAGATAGTCAAACAGTTGAAATTCAAGAAAAACAGCTCACATGTTCCTATCCTAACTTTTCCAGTTTTATTCAGTGGTATGAAAAATTATTTGATGCAGCTAGTTTTCGATAGGATAGAGACATGTAGCCATTTTTCTCGATATTCAACTGTTTAGCTAATAAGATATTTGTGACATAACTATCATTAAAATCTGCTCACCGAGAAGAATCTAAGAATTAACATTCAGGATGTCCCATTTAAAATTTTGGTGTTGAAGTCAGTGGAGCACTTTTCAGATTAAATAAATTCAAATTTTAAAAAATTGTTTAAAAGAAACTTTTGTATCAACTTTTTTTTTTAATTAGTTTCTGAGAAAAGGTATGGGCACCTAATAATTCAACTTTGTTGTATAAAGATTTACCTAACTTATAAGGTTGATTCATGTACCATATTTTAAATATCGTAAATTTGGGTTACCTACCTAAATTTCAAGATTGAGGGATCGCTTCCCAGAGCGCTTCATCTTAATTAGGGGCGATTTTGAGTGGCTGGCCCAATTTTATCTTGTGATTTTTTCTATGGGGTTTCTTAACATATCGTGTTTATGTAAACTGTCCAAGAGTGCTGGTAAGAGTCATGACAAACGCCAGAAATCGGTTTACTCAGTGTATGTTGAATAGGGGACGTCACCAATTTGATTTAATCTTCAAAACTATATAACGCAAAACTTTAGGCATGCGCCTACATTATAAAATACAAAATGTTCTGATTCATACAATGGGTTTTATTAAGTTTTGAAAAAAAAGTTATGCTGCCGCACCCTGTATAAAATTGTAAACTTTTGATAGGAAATCAAATCTGCTCAGTACTATGAGACAGTTACCTTTGTTGACTTAAGTTCATATTAAGTTTTTTATGATTCTTCTAGAAATGCTTTTAATTAAGAATATTTTCTTTTTATTTATAAAGTAGATTAATTGCATTTACTGCAGGAAATCGTGGTTAATTTTTAAACAAAATTAACCGCGAGTATAAATTACGTATATCTGCCTAATCCTACAAAACAAAGATGTTTAATTATTATTAAACAACAATATGATTAGCACGCGTCAAGAGATAGTTTATTCGTTATAATTCCAGGCGATCGACGAAAAATTGGAAGATTTTATGTCCTGGTCTAATTTCATACACTTCATAGGAAAATCTCTTGGCAATCTCCACTAATATATTGCTGTTTTATTTGTTAAAGAGTTAAAGATTCCTGTAATTATTTGCACTAATTATGTCTCTAGTCGGCAGTTACCTTCACCTCCTGGATAGAATTGAAAAAAAAAATCATTTTGCTTTATACAACACCTAGATTACAAATCGCACTGGGTTACCATTTCGATGATGATGGTAGGCGATGTTTCCTGTATTTTTCTAAGGCGTCCTGCCATAGCCTTTAAAAACAATAACTCTCTTTCACCTCACAAGCTCTTTAGGGACTCACTCGTAAGGGGTGAATTATAGGGAAAGCGTTAATAGTATTAGTATTATTAAATTTATGCATATTTTGTTTTAGGTTTCTTAATGATACAAAACAGAACGTTTCCTATAAAAACAGTTTACTATTACAATGATAACGTGGCATGGCATTTACCAAGAGAAAAAAATTTCAATCCTCCACCATTATTAATATTTCATCCATTTCGTAAGAAACCATTCAGGGTAACTATATTTATGTGAATTAAAGTAGATTTATTCAATAGGCTGTTAAATTTACATGTACAGTATATTTAAAAAGTAGTAGTTTAGATCAATCTGTATGATATTTTGTAGTTGGTTAGAAAAGGTATATAGTATATTAGTACACAAAGTAGACAAAGTAGACAAAGTAGACAAAGTAGACAAAGTAGACAAAGTAGACAAAGTAGACAAAGTAGACAAAGTAGACAAAGTAGACAAAGTAGACAAAGTAGACAAAGTAGACAAAGTAGACAAAGTAGACAAAGTAGACAAAGTAGAAAAGTAGACAAAGTAGACAAAGTAGACAAAGTAGACAAAGTAGACAAAGTAGACAAAGTAGACAAAGTAGACAAAGTAGACAAAGTAGACAAAGTAGACAAAGTAGACAAAGTAGACAAAGTAGACAAAGTAGACAAAGTAGACAAAGTAGACAAAGTAGACAAAGTAGACAAAGTAGACAAAGTAGACAAAGTAGACAAAGTAGACAAAGTAGACAAAGTAGACAAAGTAGACAAAGTAGACAAAGTAGACAAAGTAGACAAAGTAGACAAAGTAGACAAAGTAGACAAAGTAGACAAAGTAGACAAAGTAGACAAAGTAGACAAAGTAGACAAAGTAGACAAAGTAAACAAAGTAAACAAAGTAAACAAAGTAAACAAAGTAAACAAAGTAAACAAAGTAAACAAAGTAAACAAAGTAAACAAAGTAAACAAAGTAAACAAAGTAAACAAAGTAAACAAAGTAAACAAAGTAAACAAAGTAAACAAAGTAAACAAAGTAAACAAAGTAAACAAAGTAAACAAAGTAAACAAAGTAAACAAAGTAAACAAAGTAAACAAAGTAAACAAAGTAAACAAAGTAAACAAAGTAAACAAAGTAAACAAAGTAAACAAAGTAAACAAAGTAAACAAAGTAAACAAAGTAAACAAAGTAAACAAAGTAAACAAAGTAAACAAAGTAAACAAAGTAAACAAAGTAAACAAAGTAAACAAAGTAAACAAAGTAAACAAAGTAAACAAAGTAAACAAAGTAAACAAAGTAAACAAAGTAAACAAAGTAAACAAAGTATACAAAGTAAACCTATGACAAACGGCTAACGTGAGAAACTGGTAGCATTTTCAATACAATTTTCCTGCAAATTTTTGACGCTAGCCTTCGTTTTGTCCACATCCGATACTCATGCCAATTTTATTATTATGTCTAACACATTAATAACATTCTATGGTTACAAATACTTGCATAAAAAAATAACTGAAAAATGAAAAAAAAAATTCCGACTCTAAAATACACTTATCCATTCGCGCCATTTAAGCCAATATGTTTTTCGGGCTAGTGATGATGTATGTTTTCATAATTTTGACAGGCTTGTGTGGAAAAAGTGATTAAAATATTGATTTTTCTTTACAAGATTGCGCCCTTAATTCAACCCTTTAGCCACTTGCAATACTCATGCCATTGGTTTTACGAATTGCGAAGCCAAGTTCTATTAATTAATCATTCGGTTAACACGACTTGTGTGGAAATATGAGCAGAAATAGTATATTACATTACGAGTGTGGAAAATCACTTTTTAACACAAGTGATGTACAATATTTTTCCTACGACCACAAAATAATGTCATCAAAAAAATATAAAACCAAGGTTAATATTACTATAATAATTAAAATGTATTTAAACAATTAATCAGCAATAATCGTATTTATTCAATTTTCATATTTTCTAAACAAAAAAAAAAACTAAGAAAAAAAACAAAAAAAAATTCTGCCCCGCCACGATTCGAACGCTGTTGAAAAATGGCAAAGTTGATAAGTTCGACGTCCTAACCACCTGAGCTAATAGCCCTTGTGTCAATTGAATGATCTAATCGGTTATGTATTTAACCAGAATAAAGAGCAAATATTGTTTTAAAATTATTTTAAAATTATTTTAATAATAATTGTTACAGATAAATATCTAGGACCTAATTTACAACAATTTCAATAATTTAACAATCATATCGATTTTAGTATTAATATGGACATTACATAGATCAAAATAGAAATTAGGTGTTTGACATTTTGTGACAACTACTGCGGAAAGTAACATATTCTCACTCGGGTGGAAAGTAAATTCTTATTCATACGCGTGTGATATAGGGCACTTTCCATAGGACTATATAGTATGATACGTGTCACTTTCCTAAGTAGTCGTAGGAAAACACCTTCTGTTTCTGTTAAGGAAAATTGAATTTTCCATATGTTATCCACAGGGGCCACTCGTAAATTTCCTTTCATTCTACTCAACATCGATGAACTTTTTATCCTCTTCCAAGCTTGTATGCGAAAATGGGGCACCTAAATCAGTCACTATCTGACGGTCTATATGTGAAGATTTTGAAGAAAATGTATCTATGTAAATGTTTCTAACATTATGATTTTGGTTAGATACCTACTTAATATGTTATTATAATTTTGGTTACTTGATATTTTCTAAATTCATTTGTTTTTTATTAATGTTTATGATTTTAAAAGTTTGGACTGTTTAATTTTATCCATAAAAACTAGTCAAAGTATTTAAGAGAGCCCATTGACATATTTGATCTAGAAATAAAGTACCTATTACAAAATCTCCCAAATCGGTGATATTCGACGAAAAACCATATTGCATAAGAGAAGCGCGGGGTCCTTTATTCATAAGAATAACCATGGAAATCCACATTTCTATAAAAATATAGTGTTTATTTCGATCTTAACTCATATAATTGTATTTTATAATTTTTATAATTGGAGAGTAACCTATGATAACTATTTCAAAATTTTAAAAATGAATATTACTTTAATTTTAAAATATATTTTTTTGTTTTAGGATTTTTATTAACCCTTACCAAAGCTCCATCAGCTCATTTAGAGTATGATGATGCCACCTATTGGGAGTTGCCCAAAAATAGTCATCACACTAACGAAACAAAAACAGGAATCCACTACGATAATGCTAGTTTCGAAGTTTCTGCAACAGATAGCGCCACACCAAAGCCAATCTAGTTTAAGTTTAAAATGTTTTATAAATATTATACCATAGTGATTTTTAGTTTGAATAAATGTTATAAAAACTTGAATTGACATATAATTCTGTGGCTTTGTTCTAAAAGGGCAACTGTCGGAATTGCTAAAGTATGGGAAATGACAATTTAAATATTGTTAATTATTTTGAGTGTTTTTTTCTTAAATTTATGTTATTGAATTACGTTTTTTTGTTATATCTTTAAAGTAACCTTAACCCTATATGTTAATCAAATTTTTCACTGAAGTGTGAAAAAGTTTTACTTGACATTGGCCTTTTAGGTTGAAAAATAACACGCCATTTTAAGTAATACAAAGATTTATTATTTTAATAAAAACTTAAAAAATAACAGGATAGAAAGTAGTATAATATATAAATTTATTTCATTTGGCTGTGCCAGACTGAAAAATATATAACAAACTAAAAAGTTTCTTCCTCTTGACAGGTTTCGTCTTCAGTATCCGAAAGAGATTTATCAGTTGTTGACGTAGATCGTTAATCGTACTCAAAAAAATGCATTTAATAGGGTCGACCGGCTTTATAAAAGTAAGGCATCATATCTCTTAGGTGTTGAATCTTATTGGCAGCTATTCCTAAAAGTGTGCTGTAAATATAGGTTTTAGGTGTATTACATTAAATTTTCTTGTCCTTTTTCTTAGTAATACAGTTCGCCTAATGAATAAGGAGAATAGATTATTTCCCTAATAGAATACCACTTTACTTTTTCACCCAGAGTGTTGATCTTTGTATGTTGGAAATTACCCGAAAGCAGGACGTTAAAAAAATCTTTCAGACCCATCTCATACACAAAAATGTTTTTTTTTTTCTCGCGTTATTGAACGAATTAAATTTGCCCAGTCTCTAGGTATGTTTATATTAACTGTCGTATTTTTTACTATTTCAATTGCTGCATGGATGGTATCAGCCTCCATAGGTGTATGCCCTGGGACAAAAAAATTATGGTAAATTGTTAGACGCCACCCATCTTTTGAAGTTGTTCTATGACTACCAAATTCATAACGGAAATAAATAAGTTTTAATTTTGACCCTGACAGCAGTCACTATACTTACATGATGATTTCTGCTACGTTTGGAAGTTGACTGTTGATTTACTTATATAAACAGGATGCAATTTCCTGACCACCTCGACGAGCCATTGATTCATTCCACATATAACAAAGTGCATGTCACTCGCCTAAAATTATAAAGCATCATGTGAGCAGTGAGAGTAGTGTTGCTGGACTTATGATAATTATTGTATTTGTACGTTAAAGTTGAAAATTGCATCTTTTTCGACCTTTGGCCTTATAGTCAATGAGGTGAACGCTCAGTTCATCCTCATTGATTTGGCCTTTAGGATTTCCATGTCTTCGTCTCCAATGCCGAAGACGAAGAGATGGCCCTTGGGGTGAACGTTTTCTGGCTAGAACTAGCATAATGAGTTTTTGATTAGGAATGTCGACAGTCAATGTCGTTGATAGCCTCACGATAAGGGCACACGTCCGAAAAACGTAAAGATATGGGTTCGATCCCCGATAATGGCAGGTTTTTTTTTTCAAATCTATAAAGATTTGTTTTTACATTTGGGGTCCAAGAATGATCCTAATAATTCGTAAGGGGATTTTTGAGATTTGTTTCCTAATTTTTAAATTTATTTAAAAACTTTTTTAAACAATTCTGAACTTTCGGACTTCGATTTGCGATCTACGACATATGCTGCGTTTGAGAATCCACATCGGATGCATTTTTTACATCTCGAGCGTTTTTTTATCCACATCGGACACATCTGTCCCATTACATTTACGTATACTGCATCACGTGATCAAAGATTTTTAACATCTCAGATGCATCCGATGTGGATTCTCAAATGCAGTAATAATTAATTCACAATTTAAATAAATAATAGTTTAAAGAACCAAGGGACACGCTTTAATAGAAAGTCAAACTGAAAAGTAGAAAATTATTCTGAATAAATTTAAATTAGGAATAGTATGATTAACAAAATTGGGGTGCTTTTTAGGATATTTTCATAATGACTCTACTTTTACCAATATCTGTCATTAAAATATAAGAATTGACGTCAAAAACCCCACGCTTTCCTATAATAAAAAAGGTTTTTGTTAATCACACTATTCTTAATTTATATTTATTGAAAATTACTTTCTACTCTTTAGTTTACTTTTCTATTAAGGACAGCGTCTCCTAGGAATTTCTGAACAAAATTATGTCAATTTAGATTGAATCAAGGAGGTGCTGTTACCTACCGACTAGAGATTGAATTAGTGCAAATTATTACAGAAATCTTTAAGTAACTATAATATCGACCGACTAGCTATTAGGGGATATTGTATTATAAACCGGTTTTTAGTAGACTGAGTTCGAAGGATCATAATAATAGTCCTGAACATAAAATCTATTTTTCAATAATTGCCGGGATTTTACCAAATAAAAAAAATTATTTCGTGATTGTGAAAACGGTCCAATCGTTTTATATGCCATTTATAATATTATAAAAATGTTAACTCTAGGACTCATTTTGGAGTATGAGCATACTTTATTTCAATACTTTTATTGTACTGTTTCATAAAGTATTACCTACCTATTACATTTTATTTTTATCGAAAATTGACTTTGTTTCCTGGACCAAAGTAAAGATTGTAGATGCAGATGGTAACAACAAAAACGATATCTTGCCTCACATTAAATATAAATATTTCCTAAAACAAATAATTTGGTTTATATACGGGTAGTAATACGAGGGATGTTTATAATTTCAAGTCACGAATATAGAGTCGTTTCAAAATATATTGCCACAATAATTGCGTCACATTGAGTCGGAGTGGGACGCTTGACGTATCGCAATTCGCTATATATTTTAAAACTATTCTACCTAATTAATAAATTGTGATTTTGAAGTATCGAATGAAAACTATATTCTCATTGGTTAAAGATGGAAGTTTTTGTCATTTGAATGTTCAAGAATATTAATTGTGATTAATTGGTTAAATACCGAAGTTATCTGTTATCTGATGTTGGTACTAACCTAATGTTTTTGGGTAATTTTAACTGTCATTTCCTGGAATTTCCAGGCCCGCATAAATATTTATCCTATTAAAGTACAAAAACCCTACAATAGATATTATGAGTAGGTATTTAACATTCATTTATCTTATCTTATCTTAGGTAGTTATTTCCTAGAAACATGTCCCTGATTGTCAATAACACATTACCGTATATCTGTGCCAATATGACGTCACGACTTTTAATATACTTAATGAAGGCTGGGGGAAGGAGTTAAGAGTCTATAAATTTACAAACAAGCTTACGGGTATTTAGTTTTCAAAATTACATCACACGTTTCTGAAGTGTTTTATTGTGCTGTTTGTTTTTACTAAGTGTTATTTTCTTTAATAGAAAATTGATTTATTTGTGCCAAGTGTCCTAGTGAGTTTCTTTGTACATTTTAATCAGTTTTATTTTTGGATAAATTGACATCGACTTCCTGCATTAAAGGTAGGTAGTATTTTTTTTCTATCACTCTCGAGTTCGTCATTGAATAAAAAAATTAAACGCTATAATTTTAACATTCAAATATTTGCAATTAAAAAATAATATTACGTATTAAATTTGACAATAAAAAAATTTGTTATTTAATAATAATGTTTCATTATTCTGAATATATTTTTTCTACGATCAATATCCAAAGTAGGTAGGCTTTTGCACATTAAAATCTAAATAAAAAGTTGACGTTTTCTGCGAATTGTCATAATTTGACATTATTGACGCACATTACCTAATATTCAAACCCATTTCCATGCTTAAAAATAGAAGATGGTGATATTCATTTAAAAGAAAACCATAACTACTTTTACCAGGTGAAAAATTTCAATATGTTAAAATAATTCATGATTTTTAAGAAATGTGCTAGAAATGATGCTACAATATTAATATTCTTTTTATGTTTGATTGTCTAATAATGATTTTATATACTTTTAGATTCAAGGACAGCTAGGTATAGCTCAAAAAAAAATTGTGCTACTTTGTAGTATATACTGGAGATGAAAATCCAATATTTGTTGAAAAAATTCATATTCAACCCATTTTTTTTTAAAATATGGTTGAAAAATTAGAAAAATTTTACTCGGAATATATGGCACCTGAGATAATTTTAAATAGAAGAGGACGAGGATTAAAATATACCCCATATAATGAAACTTAAAGTGCAAAGATTAGCAAATTTATAAAAATAATAATTTAATGGCCTTTAATGATACAAGTACTTGAAATAATGGTTTTTTTGCGCAGAAGCATGTTCATACGTAATTTGCAATTGGTAATCACTAATCACAGATGGAAAAGTATATACGTCAACGATATGTTCTCTTATTTTTGATTTATTTTAACAGGTATAATATATGGTAGCTATGTTACTTATAGTATAGATTTTTTTATTTCTCGACCTAATTTATTTGTTACGTCTTCAGCAATTGTCGCTTTCAGTTGACATAAACGAAATTGATAAAAAGTGTTTTTCGCATTTTATTTTGACTGTTTCTCTTACTTTCGAATAGAAACTGAGCTTTGTAAACATAAAATGACGGATATGTCAAACTAAAACTGACGGTAAAATGAAACATTGAGTATCGTTAAATGCAACTTTTGAACTAGTTTCAAAAATAGCATTAAAATGATATTATCATTCACAATGTACTAATTTCCTATACTTTTAGTTGATAAATAACCGATAATCATACATCATATAACAAATAGGCGCGTGTCAAAAGGTCACCGGCGAAAAAAGAGTGCCGATAAAAAAAGGTCGTTTCCAATTGTATCATATAAACAGTATCAGAGGCAGTATTATCATCTCATATATCCCCCGTAAACACACATAATATAAACGGAAATAATCAAATACTAGTCAAAATATTATCGATCGGAGCACCATCTTTATTACATTACATGAAGTAATTATTGATTTTTCGGGGTTGATTTAGAGCTTAGATTATACAAACCTTAGATGGAACATAAGACACTGCGCATAATCCCATTTCGAAATTATTCACACCCACCAATCACAGTTAAGAACATCACATGTCAGAGCGTTGTCCATCCAAATTTAATGTGTCAACGAGAATTAATTTGGTAT